CGCGGCGCTATTCTGCGCAAAGCTAGAAAGGAAGCGGGGCCAGCCAGGGAACGCTCCGTGGCGCTATTCTTTGAAGAGCTAGAAAGGAAGCAGGGGCTAGCCAGGGAGCACGGGAACCTCCATGCCGCTATTCCATGAAGAGCTAGAAATAGCCAGGGAACGCTCCGCGGGTATATTCTACGAAGAGCTAGAAAGGGAAGAGCTAGAGCGGGAGCGCTCCGTGGCGCTATTCTATGAAGGAAGGAAGCAGGCAGGGAAAGCCAGGGACTCCGCGGCGCTATTCTATGAAGAGCTGGGAAAGGAAGCAAGGGAACGCTCCGTGGCGTTTTTCTATGAAGAGCCAGAAAGGAAGCGGGCCAGGGAACGCTCCGTGGCGTTTTTCTATGAAGAGCCAGAAAGGAAGCGGGGCTAGCCAAGGAACGCTCCGTGGCGCTATTCTATGAAGAGCTGGAAAGGAAGCGAGGCTAGCCAAGGAGCACTCCGTGGCGCTTCCGCAGCGCTATTCTATGATGCTCCGTGCTAGGAAGTGAGGCTAGCCAGGGAGCGCTCCGTGGAGCTAGTCTATGAAGGAAGGAAGCAGGCAGGGAAAGCCAGGGAGCGCTCCGTGGCTCTATTCTATGAAGAGCTGTGACGAGCTAGACAGGAAGCGGGGCTAGCCAGGAAACGCTCCGCGGGTATATTCTACGAAGAGCTAGAAAGGGGCTAGCCAAGGAACGCTCCGTGGCGCTATTCTATGAAGAGCTGGGAAGAAAGCGGGAGTGCTCCGTGGCGCTATTCTATGAAGGAAGGAAGCAGGCAGGGAAAGCCAGGGAACGCTCCGCAGGGAACGCTCCGTGGCGCTATTCTATGAAGAGCTGGAAAGGAAGCGAGGCTAGCAAGGGAGCATGTGGCGCTTCCGCAGCGCTATTCTATGATGCTCCGTGCTAGAAAGGAAGTAGCTAGGGAGCGCTCCGTGGAGCTATTCTATGAAGGAAGCAAGGGGCTAGCCAGGTAACGCTCCGTGGCGCTATTCTATGAAGAGCTAGAGAGGAAGCGGGGCTAGTCAGGGAACGCTCCGCGGGGCTAGCCTGGGAGAGCGCTGTTCTATGAAGAAAGGAAGCGGGAGCTTAGATCGTCTCGCGTTGTTTTGTGTCTCGGCTCGTTTTGTCGTGTTTCAAGCTGTTTTTGTCTATTGTTCGCCTCGTTGTGTTTTGCGTTTCTTTCAAGCTGCCCTTGTCTCTTGCTTCTCACTCGCGTTTCGTGTTTCAAGCTGTTCCTGTCTTTCGCTTTTCGCGTCGATCGCCTCGCGTTGTTTGGTGTTTCGTTTTGTCTTTGTGAGTTCGAACTGTCTTGCTCCGCAGCCTTTTGTGTTTCAAGCTAGCTGCCCTCGCCCTTGCGACTAGGAGCCATGCCTGCCCGGAAGTGCAGCGGATTTGCCGCCCCGAGTGGAGAAGTGGAGCCCTGCCGCTTCCACCCGTCTGCGATTGGGCAGCCTGCCCAAGGCAAGTTCGCAGGGCGCTGCGTCTGGTGCTGCCCGGAGGAGCTGCCGCGCCGCTTGGGCGACGGCCAGTTGACGGGGCTGCTGGTTTGCGCGCTGGCCGCCCAAGCCACCAACCCCGGCGCCGTCCGGCAGCTCTTGGCGCGAGCCCCGGCCGAGCAGCAAGAAGACCTGCAGGAGAAGGTCCGGGAGCGCCTGGGCGAAGGCGCGGAGATCCAGGAAGCTGTGGCTGACGCGGCGGCAGAAGCCGCGAACTTCGTAGAAATGGAGACGGAAGACGCCGAGGAAGGGGTTGAGGCGGGTGAGCTTGCCGAGGATATCATGGACTACTTCCTGGACCGCGGGGACTACGCCAGGAGCGACCCGGGCTCGGACGACGAGCAGTTGGAGGAGGCCGCAGCCCGCTACTACAAGTGGCGCGGGGGGCTCGTCTACGACATCTACCGTCGGATGGGCGGCTCTCGCAGCCGCGCCGAGGTCAGCGAGCTCTTCGACCAGGAGATTGACGTTTCGGAGTACAAGAACATGGTTGGTGGCTGGATGAAGACCTTGCTAGAGCGGAGGGCCAGACGCCCGGCAAGATGGTCCTGGGCATTCTGCAGCACCCGGTCGGACGAATGACTTGGGACAAGTGGCTGGCTGTGGAGGTAGACGAGGCGGGCAAAGCAGAGGTGAGCGAAGATGATCCGCCGCGACCTGCGGTTCCTGGGGCCTTGAGCGACAGCGAGCGCAGCCGAGACGAAGCTGACGCGGTCCCTGAGCTCGCGCCCAAGAGGCGCCGCCTCTGCGGCAAGCAGCCTCGGCCTTTTGCGTTCCTCGAGCGCTTCGTCGGCCCCGGTCTGGCAGCGGCGGCCGCTCTTGCCCGCGGCCCTGGTCCGCTGCGTCGCCCTGCTGCGCGGGCTGCGCGGCCAAACGAGCGCTGCGCGGGCGCGGATGGCCGGGGCTGCTCTTTCTCGACCGCCGACCTGGGCGCCCCTGCCCTGCTCCAGCCGGGCCGCGGACAGCGCCGCTGCTTGTTCTGCGGCGACGAGCGCTTGGACCGCCTCCTCGCGCAGCAGAATGGCTTTCAAGTGACGAAGACTTTGCTGGCGGTCCAAGCCATGAGCGCGGAGAAGTTTGAGGAGTGCCTGGAGAACTTGCGGCGGCGGCGCGGAGACGCGCTCGCGTCGGACTTCCACGCACGTGTCTTGCGCGCGACGAAGCGCCGAGAGCAGAAGGCGGCGCCCAAGGCCAGCCCGGCAGAGAAGTGGAAGGACTTGCTCGCCACCCGCCACCGTTCGGCCGGGGAGCTTGGCCCGGAGGACGCCGCGGCCTGGCAGGAGACGGTCCGCCGGGATCGGATGAGGATTCGCCGGAAGGTCTTTTGCCCGGGCCGGCTTTGCTGCCGCTACAGCGAGGCCTGGCCCCGCCGGCGTCGGACGCGGCGCCCAACGACTCCGGCCTGCCCAGCCCCGACGTCTCCAAGCGGGCCGAGATGGCCGAGAAGTGGTGCAAGTTTGGGTCTTGGCAAATGTGCCAGACGTGCCGGAGCATGCGACCTCGGCCTTTCTGGCCGGGCGACCTAAAGCGCGTTGCTCCGCCAACCGTTAAGAAGTGCGGCCTCTGCCAGCGCGGGGTCAAAATCCCGCAGCCGGGCAATGTTCCGGAGCCTCTGCAAGCCTTGCTGCGTGAGGTTGTTGCGGCTTTGCGCCCCCTAGATATCGACGTCGGGGTCTATGAGAAGGTCGCCCACGGCTACCGGGCCCATTCCTCCATGATCCGCTTCGCCTGGGCGGCTGAGGACGTGGAGGACAAGATCGCGGCTCTCGAAACGCGGCGGCAGCGGAAGCGGGCCCGGCGCGCCTTTCGCTTCCTTTTGGAGGACGACTGCAAGTCCGCCTACGCAGACTTCGTGGAGAAGCATCGCCTCTTCTTGCGAGCCCGCCCTGACGCCGAGGAGCGCCGGCGCAAGCTGCCGCTCCGCTTCCTGGAAGAGCGCGGCCTGGAGTGCGCCTTGTGGCCCCACTTGTATTGGGACGCGTCGCTCTGCGAAACCGCGGTCCGCCTCAGCGACGAGCGCCGTCAGTGGGCCAGGCGGACGGGCTTGTCCTCTTCCGAAGAGGAGTCGGAGAAGGCGAGCGGCTCGGAGGCGGAGGCCGGCGGCGCGGTGGAGAGCGAGGGAGACGAGCCGGGAAACCGCGGCCTGCGCAAGGGGCGGCAGAGCATCCGCCGCTCGTTTCTGCAGAAGGTCTTAGGGCCCGTGGCCGGCTACTCCGAGGAGTATGAGCTGCTTCACTTCGTATATGACTTGGTCATGTGGAGCACGCTGGGCGGAACGAAGAACTCGGTCAAGGGCATCCCGCTGCGCCTTGCCTTGAAGAATGCGTCCTTCTCGCCTGAATACTGGCGCGCGCGCCATCTTGCCCTCTTAGACCTCCAGCGCCAGGTCGGGCTGCCCTTCCTCTTCCGAACGCGGGCGCCCTATGAGAGGCCCTTTCCTTATCACGTCTGGGTGATGGATGAGATGGCCAAGGCGGGCCGCGGGGCGGCAGGAGTTGGCGGGGCTGGAGACCCTCCACATGGCCCACGTCCTCAAAGAGTTCGACCGCGGCTTCTTCAGCGGCATGAACCGCCGAACGCCGGGGAAAAGCTGGAGGGAGCACTTGCTCGGCGCGGCCGACGGGTCCGGCGCGCAGACCGTCGTCAATTTCGTATCCCGATTGGAGTTCCAAGACGGAAAGCGAAAGACGGGGACGCAGCGCTATCACGGGCGGGGGACGGTCCACTCCCACTCGCTTGACTTCCTCCGAAACGTGGGCGCCGTCAAGCTGGAGGACAAGCTCAGCGCCAGCCTCCCGGATGCGACGCAAGACCCGGTGACGCGGGGGATTGTCATCGACTCGCAGCTCGACCGGAAGAGCAGCAAGGTCCCTGTTCGCGAGGAGCCGTCCGCTTGGGACGAGGCGGGGCAGAAGGTCTTGATCCATCACAGCGAGGAGGACCACGCCCGCCACGTCCGCGCCTATTTCCCGGAGGCGCTGCAAGTGACCAAGTGCCACGAGGATGTACTGCAGGCAGACGGCCGCGGCGCGCTGTTCCGCTACGTGTCTACCTATCAGCAGAAGTTCAGCGGGGGGTTCGCCGGCGATTGGCTGAACGACGACGCGTCGGATTACAGCGTCGCGCGCCGGGTTTTGTTTGACCATCATCCGCTGGAGCCGGAGATGTGGCTGGGCTTGAGCGGGGCCCTGTTCCCGCAGTTTTCCTTTGCCTTGAAGACCAAATAGTCCTTAAAAGTTGCAAAACGTCCAAACGGTCCTTAAAAATAAGGCCTATTTAGCTTTTAAGGACCATTTAGAGGTTTAAGGACTATTTGACTTTTAAGGCCTATTTGGATTTTATGTGTTTTTAGTGATTTTCTAGTGACAGCCTAAATCCTGTCTAAGCTCTAAATCCTACCTAGCCTATCAAGCCAGCACTGTCAAGCACTCAAACCATAGCCCGGCGCAATTCAGCAAAAGCCGTGCTAAACGCACACATTTTTTCACCGACCACGCTTCTCAAGCTCATGCCTAACTACAATCAAATTCCTATAGAGCAGGTGCTCATGGCACGTCCTAGCCGACATCCTACGAAGCATGCGAAGATTGACCTTGACCCAGTCTTCGTCAATCCAGCAAGAGTCCCAGCCCAAGCTTCGCCTGGACGGACGTGTCTGCACATCCTCGATCAGATGAGTCAAGTAGTGATACTTTGGCCGTACCTTGAAGTAGAGCTCGCGACGAACATTTGCTAGCTTAGCAAGCTTCATGTACGACGCCAGGAACGCACGGCCATACATTAAAGTCTGCTCCACCTCGGACTCAGAGAGGAAAAGACCAGCCCGCATGACAGCTTCTTGAAGCTGATCTGCCAACCAGGCGCAAGCTGCAAGGCCTTCATATGGCTCTGAAACCAGACGATCTGACAGCTCGCTGGCCACAAAGCGAATCATCACGCCAGTGTCTGCCGCGCTGGACTTGAACTCAGGGCAAGTGCCATCTTCCCAAGCGAGTCGGCTTTTGGATAGCCGCTTCAAGTGCATCTGCAGTCCGTGCTGGGCCTTGAAGTCGTTCAGCCTGCGCTGCACTTCACTGAACCGCCGCGGCAAGTTGGGACCAGGCCAGAACTGCGACTTCAAGCAAATTTTCATCGCAGCGCCTACAAGATCCCTAGCTACTCCTAAATGCCAGGTGTGCATCCAGTCGGTGCTGACCATGCGCAGACTGAAGCCATCCAGTAAGGAGAGGCACGGGCGCTCAGACCAGGGATCTGGCGCAGGCCGCGTGCGCCACGCAGCGGTCTCCGACAGGTCCGTGTACACCAAACTCGGGTCTTGACGGCCCATCGACGCCAGGCACCGGAAGCAAACCTGCCAAGGCTGACACATGCTGATATAACACTGAACAACAAAGCGCCGAGCGCGCCTCCTCACAGCCTGGGAACCGCGTGAGGTTCAGCGCCTGCGCCAAGTACTTGAGGTCGCCCTTGCAGGCCACCACGTGGAAGGTCCAAACCTCAGACACACCTGGATTGCAAATATGTGGGCGGCATGTATACGCAGTCAGCTGAGCAGCTTCCCCGCACACTTCGAGTCCTTTCGCCAGCCCGTCCATGTCAGCCTTTACGGCCTGCAGCAAAGCTTGGAGCGTCTGGTTCACCTTCTCGTGGCTGTGGTACATGTTCACGGGGCAGGCAAACGCCAAGTTACGCGAGGCCTTCGAGTTGGTCCGCCATAGGCTGACATCGAGCATCCTGAGAAGCCAAATATAGCAGTAGGCACTGCGCGCGCCCACATATCGGGCTTGCTGCACAAGCTGTGGTCTGGGAAGTCGAGCAAGGTGCGTGCCCAGTACTCAGGAAGGGCTGCCGCATCTATGCTGGTCTGCAGCAGGCCCAGGCCAAGAAGCTCTGTCAACACAGCTGACAGCGCAAGAAACGGAAGGTGCCCAATCTGAAACTCATCCTGAGCGTCAACTATGGGAGCGTCCACATAGCTCAGCTTGACAGGCAAGCTCATGCCAGCCCGCATAACTTTGCGGTGAAATTCTTGTTCGCGAAGAGCACGAGTTGCGTGGCCAGACAGCATGGCCGAGGAGTACTCCTTACCTCAAGCAAAATCAAACACTGACCGACCTAGCTAGCCGACAGATAGCTAGAGCGCCTCCTACACCTACACACCGGCTATACGCCTATCCTAAATATCGTGCTAGACTGGGCTGCCAGGTTGCCGAGCTCGCAAGCCAAGCTGATTGTGGCATCGCCAGCAGCAGTGGAAGTGGTCAGCCTGGCACAGAGCTAGCAGGCGCACGCAAAGCGCACTCGAGCAGGCCTTGTGTCCAGCTTCTGTTTGAGCTGATCGAGCCTTCCAGAGCCGTAAGTACCTGCAGGATATCGAGGTCTGCACTGAGCGATATGAGCGAGCACGCACGCGCCCTCGCCGATCAGCGCTTGCAGTTGCGCAGCTCTTTTCACCCCTAGCTAGCTCCTATGCACCGGCACTACAGCGTGACCACTATGATGCCCCGTATATAGAGCGTGATCCTGGCGCGCAAAACTACCGTGTAGAGCGCCAGCCTAGATCTATATACACCTAACCTACCTAGCGGGGAAGCTGCAGCACACGCAGCAGACTGGCCCAAGAAGCTTTGACAAGCTCAAACTGCATGCGTTCCTTTGTGTTTCTTACACGGGTGGGCAAGCTGCATGAGCACGTTGAGTGAAACGCAGCTAGCGTCTCTTAAGCTCAGCCATGAGGCCCTTGGCCTTGCCCTTCACCAGCCGGAGGCTGTCAGCCTGCGCCAGCAGGAACGCGCGCGCGCTCTTAGACCTTTTTAGAAGCTAGACGCCGCCAGGCCACAGCCAAGGCAATCTCTGCGCAGATCGGGTTGATCTGCTCGAACGTGTCCAGGCCACTCAGCCTGCATGCATGCGCACTCAACACCTAAGGAAAAAAAGAGTGAGACAATTGCCACACACACACACATAAAAGTACACACACGCACATGCAAGCAGGCCAAGGGGCCGCTTCACCAGGTCCTTGAGGCTGGACTGGCTCGCCATGAGCTGCTGGATGAGGTCCGCCGTGCCCTCCGACGGCATGTCCATGAGGATGCCGGCGACATCCTTCAGGTCCTTCTTGACCTCGGCACCTTAAAAAAAACCTAACTAGGCACCCTATTAGTTCCCATACACGCCTATAGCTAGATAATGTTTGCTCCTACGCCCTATAGAGCTAGCTCTAGCCTACATGCCTAGTACAGTCACGCGGCTGAACCTAGTCAGCTTCTCCTTCGGGGTCTTGAAGCTCAGCTCGCTTATGGGCCTCTTCTCAGCCTTGCCGCTCTGGCGGGACTTGGCGGCAGCCGACTTCGGGCCTGCAGCAGGTGCCCCAGCAGGCGCAGCGCCTCAAGCTCACGCACACGTTATCATCCGTATGATAGAGACTGCGCAGGTCATCACCCTGTCATACACTCCCAAGAAAATCCCAGGCGCGCCTACAGCAGCCGCCAGCGCTTCGTTGTAGGCATCGTGCGCGCGCAAGACGTCGCCAGAGAGGCTAGCCTGCTGGGCAGTAGGCGTGGCGCGGATCTGGCAGGGCTCGTCCTCCGTGAGCATGGCGCCCACCGCAGCAGCGCTGGGCCGCATGTTGACCCGCACCTGCTGCTCGGTCCTGAGACATGCAAAGGCGCAGACGCACCGCAGCTGCGCACTGCATGCGCACTGCCAAGGGACGCCGTGGCGGTGCAGTCGACCCGCGTCTGGTGCGACAGCACCCAGTAGCGGGTCTCTTCGAGGACGCCGGGGGCGTCCTCATCCTCGATGCCGCCGCCGCGGGCTATGATCGAGTCTACCTTGCGCCTAAGCTACATGGGCATAGACCTACATCCAGCCTACATCCTAACGGACTATAAAAGTGCAAAAGTGCAGGCGTGCTTCTGGCTGAAGTTCCAGGGTGGAGACTTCATGTCCTTGACCGGAACCAAAGAGTACGCTTTGGTCCCGGTCAAGGACGACGACTTCGTGAGAGACATGGTGGCCTCCGCGGCTGACAGGTTCTCCCCCGAGGAAATCCAGGCCTGCAGCAGCTCCCGGCGGTCCTGCGCGCTGCCAGCTCACGCAAGATATCTAGATGTTGAGCTTTAGGCCTTCGCTCCGCCCTGTGCCAGCTGCTGGAGGTTCGGGTACGACGCCAGGGTGCCGTTCACGAAGAGGCGCATCTGCACAGGGTGCGAAAAAATCTCTCATCAGCAAAAATGCTAAGGCCACTAAGCAAGGCGCCAGCCGCGCGTGCTCTTTCTTGTGCGTCACAGTGGTGGGGGCTTGCGCTGCAAGTGAGGGCGGAGCCGGGGGCTCTGAGCGCTTGGGAGCTGGCGGGGCCGGCGGGTCAGCCTTTGCAGGGGGTAGCGGGGCGCCGGGTTCGCCCAGTCAGGCGTGGTCCCTTCCGGCTCTGCCTCCAGCTGGTCCGGCTGAGTCTCGGCCACTTCCTGCGCGTCGAGCTCGTCCTCTAACAGCTTGTCCAGGGCCAGCGTTTCCGCGTCTGAGAGCTCGGCCCCGTCCATGTCTGTGAGGTCCACAGGGCCAGCAGGCGGCGCCGACGTATTGAAGGCTTCTGCCAACTTGCCTACTGCAGCAGCGCCCGCAGCAGCAGTCAGCACAGGCGCTGCCTTCGGTGAGCTTGCGGAGGCAGCAGGAGCAGGTGCCTGAGTTGCAGGGACTGCTGGCTGACTGCCAGTAGCGGCAGGAGCAGTCTTCTCAGCTGCAGGGTCTGCAGCGCGACTGCCAAAGGGAGATGATGCCGTGGAGCTTGTCCACACCCACCTCCGACACGCTGGGCCCCAAGGTGAACCTGCGTCGAAAAAAAAACAAAAAGGCACAAGTTGCGCAACTCCAAAAAGGCCAGCTGCTGGAGAGGAACTGTTCCAAGTTCTCCTGCGACTTTTTCCTCTGCAGACCCTGGCTGCCAGCAAGCCCTTGCAGCTGCTCCATGGCCATCTGCAAGGTTCCACAAGACCTGCAGTTTAGAAGCTCACCTATACAGACGCGCCTACCTTGTCCTATAGACCTACGCCTAACTAGCTCACCTACAGACGCGCCTACCTAGTCCTGTTTAACTCAGACAAGCGTCGACAAGCTGAGCTGGGACTCCTGCTCCTGCAGCTGGTGGTCAAGCTCCGGCTGCGAGTCAGGCAGCATCTTGACGTCTGCGCCTGCAGGCTGCTGGCACACCAGCTGTGTGTCATCAGCCTGGAAAACCGGGACTGCAGGTGGCTTGGGCTTCTTTGCCTTGCCGCCAGCAGCCTTGGCAGCTGGCTCTTTGCGCTTGGGCGGGCGGCTTTGGCCTGCAGGGGCCGGCGGCTAACTAGCTTAACCTACCGCTAAGAGACACTACCAGCCAAAACCTACGAAAACCAAAGACTTCTGCGTGCCAGACCATGGAAAATCAATTTCCCGGATTTCCCGTTTTTTAAGGCTCATTTACACGTTTTTAAGGCTCATTTACAGGCAATTTCCCGGAATTTCCCGTCCAATTTTTGCAGACATTGCCCCAGAAGCGCTCTTTTGGACACGCGCAAGCTAGCCTATCTAGATCCTATAGCCTACCCCGTAGCCTAGGATCAGGCAGCTCGAAGGCCCAAGTGCCTCAGAGCTATCGGGAACTTCCACGGCTCACAGATAACGCTGCAAGTAGGCGCAGGCCAAGTGGCAGGCGAAGGCTCTCCACAAAGTCTTCCTGAGCAGGGTCGTGTGCAGGGAGCGGCTCGGCACTCAAAACACTGTGGCTCAAGCAACTTGCGTCAATCTTCACAGCCGGGCGTGCGACTGTTTTCACGGCACAGTCGCGCCAGTCGATCCAGCCACAGCTGTACAGCGGCTCGCCCCCACCTACCCTACCGCGCGCCTAGCTAGCCTTCGCCTAGAGCCCTACACCTAGCCGACCTAGCCTAGCAGCCAGCCTACCCTACGCGTGGTGGGACGGGTGCTTCACTCGAGGTGAGGGCCGGCCCCGGGCAGCCCGTGCCTCGCTGCCCGGTTAAGCCCCGTGAAGTACCCGTCTTCCGCTAGCTGCCACGTCCTCTGCTCGGCCGTGCCAGGTGTCTGGGCCGCGCGCGCAGTCCAGTCGCAGGGCTTGCCCCCTTTGGGGCCGCCGGGGCGCGGCTGCGGCCCAGTGCGCTGCAGCGCAGCCTGGCCCTCAGAGCTTGCAGCCCAGCGCCGCCACGCCTCCTCCACCTCCTCTGGCGGCAGCGGTCCGCCACCGTAGCCGCCAGCACGCTGCCAGCTAGCGCTGCGTGGCGTGTGCACCTCTGCCTGGCCCAGGCGGCGTGCAGCTTCGCGAGCTTCAGCTGCTTCAGCGGCCCTGCGGGCTTCGGCAGCCTCAGTGGCCAAGCGGGCCTCGGCAGCTTCAGCGGCCTTGCGCGCCTCTGCAGCTGCAGCGGCCATCCTGGCCTCGGCAGCTTCTGCAGACCGGCGGGCCTCCACGGCTTCCTGCAGGGCGCGAGCTTCGTCAGGGGAGACACGTGGCTCTGCAGGTCGGCGCGTGTCCTCGGTGGGCAAGGCCTCGACTTCCGCCTCCCACTCGGGACTTGGTCCCGCTTCGCCACGGCCGGCCCAGCAGCTGCTGGGGCATCCTTGCCCTTGCCCTTGCCCAAGCCAGGAGGGCCTCTGCAGCTCCTTTAGGCTTGCCGCCTGCCGGCATAGCCTTGCCCTCAAGCGGGCCTTTCCCTTTGAGCTGCTTGCCCCAGTCTTTGGCTTTGCCATCGGGCTTGCCGCCATCGGGCTTGCCGCCGTCTGGCTTGCCGCCGTCTGGCTTGCCGCCGTCAGGCTTGCCGCCGTCAGGCTTGCCGCCGTCTGGCTTGCCACCATCTGGCTTGCCATCAGGCTTGCCGCCGGCAGGCTTGCCCGCCCCAGACTTGCCCTGCCCTTTGGCGGCAGCTTTCGGCGCCAGGCCGCGGTCTCGCTCAGCAGCTGGAGGCGGCTCATCCGTGCGAGGCTTCTTGTTCGAGTCCATGCCGCCCTCTATGACGCCCATATGGCGCCACGTGTGACCTACTGGCGCGACCTAAACCTACCGTAGCTAGATAGATATGAGCCAGGCAGCAAGTAACGCTCACAAAAGCACGCGCAAAACTGCATGCAGTGAACATGCTATCGCAACTGCCTCGATTATAAATTGCTGACGAGTGTCCCAGTGCCCAGGGGGCGGCCTCAAGTGCTTGCAGCCCAAGACGTAGCGCAGCGGCTGCAAGAGCTCTGCCTCACCAAGGGCCCGCGCTGGAGCACGCAGTTGGGTAGCAAAAGTTTCCTACCTAAAAAATCCTACTTCCTACTACCTATACCTAAAACTCCCTATATAGTAGCTAGTAGCTATAGCATGCCGAGGCTCGTCCTCCAGGTCGTGCCGGAGCAGCTCAGGCTGGACCCAGTCAAGGCCTGCTGGCAAGTCCTGCCTTAAGAGCTCGAAGTCCGACAGGGCGCAGGTGACTTGTGCAGGGTCACGTGGGCCAGGGACTTCCACCTAGACCAGCACGCATTTGAGTAGAGGCTGCACCACGCACGCTTGCGGGCAAGCTGCAGTCTTGCGGCCACGAAAGTTGCGGGCTAGGGCAGCGCCAAATTTGGCAGGATACTGCCTGCAAAATCTGACTTGACCACTAAATGTGCACTCACATGATGAAAGCGCAGAGGCCACGTGCAGCTATGGGGCTGGCTGCGCTTCAGCTGCAGCTTTTGGCCTACAAATTTGCGCCTGCCCTGCTCATCCACGTACGAGCGCGTGAGCTTCGCAGAAGTGACAGCTTCCCTTTCTCGCTTGGAGAGGTAGCCGCCCTCAGCAACCAGCTGGCCGATGAAGCCTTCGTCGTTTGACCAGCCGCAGTGGCGCTTGGCAGACTGAGCACCAAAAACGCCCATCCACCAGTATCCGCGCCAGACCTACGCAGAGCAACTGTGCCCTATAGAGCCTACAGCTAGCCTAACCTACCCCTAGAGCCTACATTTGGCCACGAGGCGTTGACGCGGCTGCACAGCCATCGTTCCCAGCAAGGGAGCTGCGAGAAGAAGCTCTGGGCCGGCTGCTCCAGCAACCACCGTGCCTGCCTGTAGCTGATCAGCAGAAGAAGGACTGCCGTCCGAGCCGCCAGGCAGTTGCCTATAGACACGAAGCTATAGCCTGCGTTGCCTTTTGGCGCTGAAGGGCACCGGCCAGAAGTGGCTCTGCTCCTACAGCTGGGACATGCAGTCTCAAAGTCCAAAGCTGCATTAAGGCAAACGCATTATGGAAAAGCTGGCGCAGCAGAGCGCAATCACCGCGCAGGATCCAGGCTTTAGGCAGCGCACCGCGTTGAGCGCCAGCCTGCTCAAAACTCAAAAACGGAAAAATGTGGCGAATGTACAAGGGCCAGACAGGAAGCCAGAGTTCCCGGTCAGATCCATGCACAAAGGATTTTTGAGGATGTCGTGGCTTTGTCCTTGAAGGCCATCCTCGCATGCGAGCAGAAAAAAAAGGCGCAGCTTCGCTGCAAGCTTGCCTGCTGGAGGTGCCTGGACACTTCTCCGTGGCCTGCGAAAAGCTCAAGAAAGTCTAGCTCCTGCGCAGTCACAATTATGCGCAGTCAGCAATGCAGCCTACCGCAGTCCTGCTGGCCAGCTGGAAACTGCAGAAAGCCCGCCAGCACATACAGCAAGATGAGAGACTTCGGGGCTCTCCAAACCATGAGTTCGCGAACCACCATGCTGGAGCTAAAGCAGCCTATACCTATAGTCCGAGCCTAATTAGCTATAGCGCGCGCGTGTGAAAAAAGCTAGCACGCACACACATCAACTGCAACAACTGGCTTTTTCCCCCTACATGAACCTACGTCGCTTCAGCTCCCCTACCGTTAAACCGGCCAGCAGCTGAGTCCTGTCAGGCGACAGGCTCCAAGCTGCGCAGCCTTCCCGGTACGACTTCCCCAGCGCCTTTTGCGCAGCTATGTACTCTTTGCGCTTGCTGGCAAACAGGCAAGGAGAGTAGGCAGCGCTACTGTCTGCAGCTGGAGACGGCGCAGGCGGCGCAGCAGCTTGCGTAGCCTTTTTTTTCGGCTGCGCCTTCTTTTTGGTCGCCGCCTTTTTCTTTGACTTCTTTTTTTTGGAAGCTGCAGGCTCCTGGCTGTCCTCAGCCTCGCTCTGGTAGTCCCCATTTTTCCACCTGGATTTGCAGCAGTTATTTTAGAAAAAAAAAGAGGTGCAGGCGAGGCGCTGTGAGGCCGGGAAGAGGGGCTGACCAGCTGGAAGTTCTTGCAACTTCTTGAGGGCAGCCCGCACCGCGTCCGTAAGCTGAGGCACAGCCGACCTGCGCTCGAGCCTGCTCTTGGCGACCTTCTCTGCCAGCGCCGTGCGGGCTGTGTCTGGCAACGCTGTCTCGGAGTTGGCGGGCTTCGCCGTGGAAGAAGCCGCCAGCTTGCCTCTAGCAACTCGTTCAGCTATAGCCCTGGCGTCAGGGCGCGCCCCCACCAGAAAAAAAAATGCAGCAAGGCCTCAGTCTTGCAGTTGGCTCTGCTGGGCTTGCAGGGGCCTCTGAAAGCCAAATTTTAGAGAAAAAACAGGTCAGTCGAAGCATGCAGGTGAGGTGCAGCTGGGCTGAGGCTTTCCAGATCGCTGCCATCAGCTTCAGACTGCGAGTCCTCGCCGGCCTGGCAAAGAATAGTTGCCGCGACTGGCAAAGAGAGCTGGCTAGCCTTAAGGCTCATGACTTCCCTCAGCTCGTCCTTGAGCTCCTGGAGCGCTTTGTTCCTGGAACCTGCTGCAGTGCGGACAAGCTTCTTGAAGCGGGAGACCTAGGCGCTGGATTGCCTACGCCTATCTTCAATCTAGATCCGTCCTAAAGCTAGCAGTACTATAGATGCCTATATTAGACCTAAACAAGGCAAAGGCCCCCGCAAGCTTGCGAAGGGCTGTTCCTGTCTTAAGCGACCACCGCAGGATCGCTTCGGCGTGCAGGCTCACGCTGCCCAGTGTCTTGCACGAAAAGCCGGACTGCTGCAGCAAGGACATGGCTGCTAGCTCGGCGGCGGCCAGGCTTGGTCCCCCGGATCGCTGCAGCGATGGCCTTGGCTATCCGAAAGCTTTCCTGCAGAAAGGGCAACGCGCAGACATTAAGCTCTGCCACGCGAGGGTTGGCCACCACGTCCGAGCGGGAGGCTTCCCCACTCTTGAGCAGCTTGCCGGAGGCATCGTCTAGCAGCCGAAGGCCAACCTAAACGACGAAGCTGTGCAAGTCGGATCCTGCAGCTGATCGGGATGCAGCAAAGCAGCTCCTTTCAGGGCAGGCTCTCGCTTGAACTCCTCTGCGATGCTGATGCTTTCCTTGGGGAACTTCGCCAAGTCAGCAGCAGCGACGCTGGAGCCAGGCATTGGCGCCGCTTTGGAGGCTACAGGGTTAGCGCTACACCAGCCCTAACCATAGCCTACACACCTAGATAGCCCCTATAGGTGCTCCTAAAGCGCCTGTGAGCCACATGCAAACGCAAAATTGGCGACATGACTCACACACGCACGCAAGCAACGCGGAGGGCACTGGACTTTGAAGCTGGCTTCATGACCTGCTTGATCTTCGGCATCTTGCGGGCAGGCACCTGCGGCTGATCAAGGCACTCGTGCCGGCCAGCTACGTGATTTGAAAGCTGCGCCTGGGCGCGCTTCTCAGCGCAGCGCTTGCGGAATCCCATGGCGCCATCCTACACCTATCTCCTACGCTATATCTCCTATAAATTTCTAGCTAGAACCAAATTCGAACACTTGCCACTTGACACCTTATAGGCTAAAATCTTCGATGCCATGAAATTGCCGTGCCTGAGCCTCAATGCTCACCAAATGCAAAAACTCCGCAAGCGCCGGAGGCGCTAGCTAGCTAGCCTACGCCTAAAAAACCTACCGCACTGCCCTAGCTAGCACCCTACAACTTGCTAATTTCCAAACGGTCGTTTATTTAAGGCCTATTTGAAACGGTCCTTAAAATAGAGCCTATTTGATTTTTTAAGGACGATACTTTTAGAGACCATTTGGTCTTCAAGGTGGGGGCACTCTGGTGGACATCTTTGCGCCGTGGCCCGGCATGGAGGAGCCGCCCACCTACGTGGCTCGCTATGAGGCCTGCGCGTGGAAGGGCACGAACATGTCCCTGCTGGAGTTCCTTCGCAAGAGCAACGCCGAGGGCGAGATTGTCCAGTGGCTTCAGCGGAAGTGGAAGGCCGCCCAGAAGGCCGGCAGCGCCGCCAGCTTGGAGGACTTCGCACGAGGCTGCGCCTGTGAGGGGGAGAAGGCTGTTGCGGCTGGCTGCGTCTCCCGTCTCCGGGATCGCTTCTACGGGCAATGGCTGGCCCTCCATTGCCCGTTCTCAAGCCTCGACGAGTTCCTGACGGAGGAGATCAAGGAGCGGGTCCCGGAGCGCTATGCGCTGTTTGCCGCCGCCCTGCAGCGACGGCCCGACTACTGGGGAGGCGACCTGGCGCCGCTGCGCACGGATATGGCGCTGGAGGCCAACGGCAGTGACCACATCGAAACCGTTTGCAACCTGGTCCGGGCCCAGCGGCATCTCGTGGGGCAATATCTGCTGGGCGAGCTGGCGCGAGAGGATGTCCGCGACGTGGACATGGAAGGCGGCGACGACGACCGAGGGACCGAGCCGGAGCCCGAGGACCGATTCGCTTTGTCCGCCGCGCAGCGGGCGCTGGCGCGCTGCGTTGATGTCAACGTCAGGCGCTCGCTGGAGGCGCGCGAGGCGGCCGACGACGACCTGGTCGACTCGCTGCAGCTGGAGGCCTTCGACAAAAACAAAATCCTGGCGGCCCTGGGCCCGCCGGGCACGGGAAAGACTTTGGCCCTCAATCGCTGCATCCGCCGCTGGCAGGCGCGCGGCGCTCGGATCTTGTTCGCGCTGCCCACGGGCCAGCTTGCCGCTGAGATGCGCCGCAAGCATCCGGACGTAGATGTGGACACTTGTCACGGCGCCTTCTTGTTCCACAAAGAGATCTCGCAAGCCTTGCCGCTTTTGAGTGCCTATGACCTCGTCGTGGTAGACGAGGTGTCTATGCTGACCGCGGAGCACTTTGACCGGCTGGTCGCCATGTGGCAAGCGGCCGACCGCCTGCCCTGTCTGGTCTTTCTCGGCGACTTCTGGCAGTTGCCTGGGCCGCAGAGGCCACCCTCCAAGGTGACCGACAGCCCGGCGTGGCGGAACGTGACGGAGATTAAATTGTGCGTGGTCTACCGCTGCGAGGATCACAAGCTGCGGCGCAAGCTCAGCGCCTTGCGGACCGCCGTCCCCGAGCGCCAAGTTGCTGGCAAAGATCGCCGACCGGGCCCATCGCGCCTGGGAGGGCTCCGAGCCTGACGCCTGGGACGTGCTGTCGGTGCTTCGGAAGACGGACTATAAGACGACCATGGTCACTTGCACTCGCAAGGGCGCGCTGCTCCTAAACAAGTTGGCCGCGAAGGTCTTGTTTGAAGACCGGCATCAGGAGCCGCTGGCTGAGCTGCCGCTGGACTGGGAGGCGGATCCTGCTAACTTCGACAAGGAGGGCGAGCCGATGGACGGCGTGGAGGCGCTGCCGACGCATATCTACAAGGGCGTGCAAATTGTCTTGACGAAGAACCTCAACAAGCGACAGGACTTTGTGAACGGGATGGGCGCCGCGGTGGAGGCCTACGATCCGGCCAGCGGCTGTCTCACTGTGGAGACGATGACGGGCAAGCGGCTCGCGATCTGCAAGATCCGTGAGCGCGTCGGCCGCCGGGATGCGGACTTCTTTCCCGTCCGCCTGGGCTACGCAGCGACCGTCCAGAAGGTCCAAGGGCAGACGCTGGAGCACATAACCCTATGGCTCGACCGCGCTTGCTGCCGCGCCGCCGGCTATGTCGCGCTGTCCCGGGTCCGCCGCGACGAGGACTACTTGATCGCGGGCAACGTGACGCCGGTCCACTTCATCCCGGCGATGTGAGAGCCCGAGGACAGCGCCGCGCGAGCAGAAGAAAAAAAAAAAAGCGACGACGCAACTCTTCCGCAAGACTTATCCAGAAACACTGTCGAGGATTTGCGTCCCCGTCGCGGGCGCCGAGGATGGAGGCGACTCGCAGAGAGAGGGAAAAAAACGTTTTTTCGCGACGTCGTGTCGGGCGGGCTGATCCGTCGCTGGGGCAAAAAAAAAACGTCTTCCGCAACTTCGCGTCTGGCCAGCTGATCT